ACTACCGCCGATTTGTTCCGAATTTCGCCTGAGTTGCTAATAGCCTCCACGAGCTCACTAGGAAAAATAGACCCTTCGAGTGGAATAGGGAGCAGGAGGAGGCTTTCCAGACTCTGAAGGAACGACTATGTACTGCACCTATGCTAGCGTATCCCGTTCCAGGTGCAACGTTTATTTTGGATACGGATGCTAGTGGTTATGCCATAGGAGGCGTACTGTCGCAGTTAATTGATGGGCAGGAGAAGGTGGTTACCTACTATAGCCGGTCGATTGGAAAACCAGAAAGGGACTACTGCGTAACTCGGAGAGAACTACTAGCGTTGGTGGAGTGCGTCAAACATTTCCACAAGTGCCTCTATGGGCAACGTTTCCGAGTTCGAACGGACCATGCAGCGCTGAAGTGGCTACTACAGTTTAAGAATTCAGAAGGACAGCTAGCTCGGTGGATTGAGAGACTGCAAAGTTATGGCTTCGCTATTGAGCACCGCAAGCGAAGTGTCCACGGTAATGCTGATGCCATGTCCCGCCGACCATGTAGCCTGGAATGTAAACACTGCTCAAAAGCTGAGGGAAAAGAGGACATTATAGACGTCCGTCTAACGACAATAACCCCAGCGGAAGAGTGGAAGGAAGAACAGCTACGAAAGTGTCAGCAGGAAGATCCAGATCTGGAGCTTTTGATGCATGGACTGGAGGTGGACAGAAGACCAACTAAGGAGCAAATGGCAGCGGAAAGCCCCATCGCAAAGGCGTAATGGGCACAATGGAACAGCTTAAAATTAATGTCTGGCTGTTTTCATAGGGTATGGGAAAGCGAAGATGACCAGTGCTCCCGCAACCTGATAGTTTCTAAGGGTTAGAATTCCGTATGTACTCAAGGAATCAACAATGGTCCTAGTGGAGGGCACCTGGGAATCACGAAGACCCTGGAGAAGGTTAAGCAGAGGTTCTATTGGGTTGGTTGTCGGCAATCGGTCGCAGAGTGGATTGCTAACTGCGCGGAGTGTGTTGCAGCTAAAGGGCCGAAATACAGAAGTCATGGCCAGATGAAGCAGTATAACTCAGGTGCACCTTTCGAGCGGATTGCCATGGATGTAGCCGGTCCATTTCCTATGAGCGCACAGGAAACAAATACGTCCTTGTGGTTATGGACTACTTTAGCAAATGGAGGTATACCCGATTCCAAACCAGGAAGCTAAAATAATAGCGGAGGTATTCACCTACAATTAGGTTGCGAGATACGGTGTACCTATAGAGCTGCACTCTGACCAGGGAAGAAACTTTGAATCGGCGGTGTTCCAAGAGATGTGCCAGATACTGGCTTTCCGGAAAACTCGAAAAACGACTCTTCATCCCCAATCAGATGGCATGGTGGAACGGTTCAACCGAACCCTGGACGAGCATTTGCGGAAGGAAAGATTGGGATGTCCGCATACCCTTTTTCCTGATGGGATACCGGTCAGCAGTACATGAAACAACTGGTAAAACTCCTGCAAGGGTAATATTCGGTGGCTGCAATTTAGTTTGGCATCCCCGGAGTTCCGCATTAAGGTAGCTATGGAACGATAGACGGAGTTCTCCTGATTGCAAATATATATACTTTTAGCCGCAGCAGGCTTCTAGTTTTTAAGTTATTTGTTGTTAAAGTTTGTAAATTGAACTAACCTCTCGGCTCTATTTCACACAATAAACACTTTATTTATGTGCACACTTCGGCAAAATAGTTGCATTAAAACCCCGGCCTGAGATTTCCACTTTAATATACAATTCTTAATTAATTAATTAAGTAAAACGCGTTTATAAATGTCTTCACAAACGTTTGCACATTTCACAAACAAGCAGAAATAACAATGGCTGACAGTAACACAAAATGTATGCTACCATACGTTAAAAAAATACACAAATAAGTGCGTATAATTAGGAAGTACAAGTGTACAATACGTACATATATTGCTCTTATTAAAACTAATAATATTAGAATCGATAGGGGTCTTACTCCTGATCATAACGGTATTATTTTTTTCGGGTGGAATTAATATTTACTGGTGTTATTGTAGTTCAAATTACACAAATGTAGAAAACGTACATCGTTAATTTGATAAATAATGAAAATTTTTAATAAAAAATCGCACGATTTTTTATTAAAAATTTTCGCCTGCAGCGCTTTTTCCATAAAAATCAATACTTCGATAAATAATAAAAACCTGAAATACTTTTCAAATCTATTTATAGAAGTAGAAAACGAAAT